GGAGTTTCAGATTTCAGGTCAAGATGGAGGAGTAGGTAAATACTGTGCTTACCTTCTCTCATGACCACATCAAAATTACAACTGAACTACAAAACAGCCATCACTGAGAATCACCTGATGTCTCGCTGAGCCAAAGCCCAACAACTAAGGACATAAAGAAGAAACCACCTCAAGACTGGCAGGAGGGGCAGAGACCAGGAACAGGCTGGTCCCATACCTGTGTGTGACCATTAAAAATTGGGACATCTCGACTGCAGATATCCCCTCTGGAGGAGCAAAGGGTCTCAGTGCCACACCGAGCTCCCCAGCCCCGGGTTCCAATGCCAGGGAGAGAATTCCCCATAATTTCTGGTTCTGAAAACCAGCAGTGATAGTGACTTAGTGTGACAAAGGGTGTCTGCACTCCCAGGCACTCCTTCAAAAGCCCCACGCACAGACTTACTTGCTGACAAATTCGCTGGCTGAGCTCCAATACTGGGGCAGCAACTGGAAAGGTGGAAGGTATATACAAGGAGGAACAGAGTAGTCTGGCATCAAGGTGAGGGCTTGAGGGGAAGCTTTCTCCCGGAAGCAGGAGCTGACGAAAGCCATTGTTTTTATTGAGCCCTCCCCCTTCTGGCGTGCAGACGCAGGTGGCCGCCATATCAGCATCTCCATTAACCTGGCTAATGCATCTCATTAGCCCCACCCTTGTGATTCTGAGACCCCACCCCACTCAACATTTGGGCATACCCAAGTCACTTTCAGTGGCTTTTTTCTACAAACCGCCTGCCTTGGCTCATGCTGCAGACTTTCCTAAAGTCTCTCGAAGGGTCACAAAACCCAAACAAGCATCTGGCTTGAGTGTGCCCTGTAACTGGCTGAGCAGCCCTAAACCTGGCATTAGTGACAGCTGGCCTTGCTTCCCAGCTTGGCCTCTCAACGCACCTTTAAGCACAGCACAGGTGGGGGCCATCTCTGGATTGCTCTGTGGCTCATGCCAGGTGATCCTGGCCAGGGCGCAGGCTGCAACTGAATTGGGATGGCAGTAGGTTCCCTCCCAGGTGTCCCTGGTGCTGGCATGCCCAAGGGCCAGCTTCAAACTGAGCTGGAGCACCACCTGGCTGCCTCCAAAGATGACAGACCCAAAGGGCTGACTGGGCAGGCACCAGACCCCTGCTAAAGCAAACCATGCGCCATAGGATCAGCCCCTCCAAAACAGTTCCTTCACTCTAGTAATGGCCATTCTTCACAACCAATGAACCCTAGGGTTAACCACTCCCACTGACATGCAAACAGCAACCAAGGAACAATAGGAGGACACACATAACACGCACACGGCTCTGGTGATCAGGGAGACTGCGTCATTGGGCCCCACAGGACACTACTCTTCCAAGACTGGGAGACATAGAAGCCTACCTAATATATAAAAACAAACACAGGGAGGCAGCCAAAATTGTTCCCAAAGAAACATGTCCCAAATAAAAGAATAGAACAAAGCTCCAGAAAAAGAACTGAATAAAACAGTGACAAGCAACCTATTAGATGCAGAGTTCAAAACACTTGTTATAAGGATGTTCAATGATCTCAGGGAGAACTTCAACAAAGAGATAGGAAACATAAAAAATGGATATAGAAAACAGAAAAAAGAACCAGTCAGAAATAAAGAATAACAGAAATGAAGAATACATTAGAGGGAATCAATAGATTAAATGAAACAGAGGATCGAATCAGTAATTTAGAAGATAATGTAGCAGAAAACACCCAATCAGAAGAGCAAAAAGAAAGAAGAATCCAAAAAAATGAGGATACTTTAAGGGGCTTCTGGGACCACATCATGCATATCAATATTTGCATCATAGGAGTAACAGAGGAAAAGACACAGCAAGGATTGAAAACCTATTTGAAGACATAATGACAGAAAACTACCTAACCTGGTGATGGAAATGGATGTTCAAGCCCAGGAAGCACAGAGTCCCAAACAAGATGAACCCAAAGAGGCTGATACCAAAACACATTATAATTAAAATGCCAAAAGTTAAAGACAGAAAAAAGAATCTTAAAAGCAGAAAGAGGAAAACAGTTAATTACCTACAAGGGAGCTCCCATGAGACTGTCAGCTGATTTCTCAACAGAAACTTTGCAGGCCAGAAGGGATTGGCAGGAAATATTCAAAGTGATGAAGAACAAGGACCTATAACCAAGGTTACTCAACACAGCAAAGCTATCATTTAGAATCAAAGGATAAAGAACTTCCCAGACAAGAAAAAGCTAAAGGAGTTCATCACCACCAACCAAGTATTACAAGGACTCTTAGAGATACTTCTTTAAGACAAAAATGTAATAATAAATAAAAAATATGAATAATAAAATGGCAATAACTACATATCTATCAACTATTATATTCAATATGAATGGATTAAATGCTCCAATCAAAAGACAGGGTGGCTGAATGGATTAGAAGACCCTTACATATGCTGTCTATAAGAGACTCACTCCAGATCTAAAAACACATATACACTGAAAGTAGAGATGCAAAAGGTTATTTCATGAAAATGGAAATAAATATTTTTAAAGAGCTGGAGTAGCAATACTTATATCGGACAAAATAGGCTTTAAAACAAAGCTATAAAAAGGGACAAAGTAATACCATTTCTGGGTATTTGTCCAAAGAAACCCAAAATGCTACTTCAAGGTGATGTGTTCATCCACACATTCATTGCAGCATTATTTACAATTCTTAAGATATAAATATGGCAACCTGGGTGTGCACCAATGGATGAATGGACAAAGCATAAGTGGTACATATATACAATGGACTATTACTCAGCCATTAAAAATAATGAAATCTTGACATTTGTGATAACATGGATGGACATAGAGGGTACTGTGCTGAGTGGAGTAAGTCAGACAGTGAAAGACAAATGTCACATGATTTCACTTATAAGTGGACACTAAAGAACAAAATAAACAAACAAAACAGAAACTCATAGATACAAAGAACATCTTGATGGTTGCCCGATGGGAGGGGTGGGGAGGTGAAAAGGGGGAAGAGATTAAGAAGTACAAATTGGTTGTTAAACAGTAGTCCCGGGGATGTAGGATATAGCATAAGAAATATGTCAATAATATTGTAATAACTATGCATGGTGTTACATGGGTACTAGATCTATCAGGGTGATAAGATGGTAAAGGGTGAAACAGGTGAAGGGATTGAGAAATACAAATTAGGAGTTACAAAACAATCAATGGGATGTAAAGCATAGGGAATATAATCAATAATATAGTAGTAACTATGCATAGTGCCAGGTTGGTAATAGACTAGTTAAGGGGATCACTTCGTAAATTATAAAAATGTCTAACCACTATGCTGTACACCTGAAATTAATATAAAATTATATTGAATGTAAAAAAAAAACAGTCACAGGGATATAAAGTGCAGCACAGGAAATACAGTGAATAATATTGTAATAACTACATAGAATCAGATGGGTAATAGACTCACCATTGGGGTTATCACTTTGTGAGGTATATAAATCTCTAATCACTGTTGTTTTGTACACCTCAAACTAATTAAAAAATACCTGAAAAAAATTTTTAAAAATAAAGTGTGCAGTTTTGAAATATTGTTTTAAAAATCTTTCTAACTTTCCCACAATGTTGTTAGAAGGATCAGTTAGAGGAGATGGGAAATATTTTGTATGATTTTAATGTCTATAACTTAAAATTTGTAGACATTAAATGTTTTGTTTCTCTCTTTTTTTCTTAGAACAATGAATATCCTTCCCACAAAAAGTGGGGAAAATAGAATCATAGACTCCCAACAAAATCTTCCCAGATGATCTCAGAGAGGCAATAACATAGTTAGTGTCTCGTGTTTCCCAAATCTTTGGCTTTTATATTGATGTTGACTAAGAAACTGAAAAGGGGGTAGGCAAAAAGAACAGCACAAATTTACCTAGTAGGATCTTAACAGATTGTGAATCTTTGATTGTATCAATTTTGATCAAGTTAATGAGTTAGTACTGTAATAAGGATCTAAGGAGCCTTCATAAAGCGCAGCATGGGAGCAACTGTGAAATATTAAGGTGACAATGTAACATTGTCATACATTATATGCCACAAGAAAGCATATGCAAATTATATAAATCACCTCTATATTCAGATCATTTTCTTAAAAACAAATACGGTCATGCACCACAAAATGACGTTTCAGTTAATAATGGTTTGCATATATGATGATGGTCCCATAAGATTATAATGGAGCTGAGCAATTCCTATAGTCTAGTGACATTGTAGCTATTATTAGTGTCATGGAGCACTGCATTACACAAATACTTACCAATGTGTTACAAGTGCTTACAGTATTCAGTACAGCAACATGCTGTATAGGCTTGTAGCCTAGGAGCAATAGGCTATGCCATATAGCTGTGGTGTGCAACAGGCTCTACCATCTAGGTTTGTGTAAATGCACTTTGAGATGTTCACACAATAATGAAATTGCCTAACGGCACATTTCTCTGAATATTCCTGCCATTAAGGGGCACATGACTGTAGAATTCCAGTCAATCACTAAATGAATGAAAAAAATGCAATGAAAAATGTGTCACTAATAAGTGCGATACCCATGGTAAATATCATAGTAGAATTAACCATTTAATAATTTAATAAAAGTCATCCTGAAAAAAATCAATATACTTCAAAATAATATTAAGCTGCTACTTCAAAATATGATTTGATTTTAAGGTTATAATAGATTCAGAAAATATATAATTCAAAATAGTTTTTAGTTTTAACAGGTTGCGGGTAGCTTCTTTTCATTGATAACTCAAGTTTTTTTCATACTTCTTAAGTTACAAAAAAAAACAGTATAATTTAAATTCAGTCCTCAAATAATTCATTCTGAAACCCAATTTTCCCCCATATTTTATAGTTGAGAAATCTAATGTTTCTGTGGTAAGGACAGAAAGATGTATAAAATATGTACATTTGAAGAAAATCACACAAGAACACACCACATCATTTTTTTTTCTGAGATTTAATTTTAACTAATGAATTTTAAATGATGAATATAATGTCAATCCAATTCTTTGCTTATTTGCAATGCACAAACTATTTTTTGTAACTTGGAGGTGAAATAGATTCTTTTCACCAGGGCAATGCTTTCACTCTTATTTATGGTCTTTTTCTGGTTTTTTTGTATTGTGTTTTTTTTTTCTTGAGGCCTTTTTCTTCAACAGTTTAACAAGTCACTTCTGGTTTGGCTAAAGTGCAATTCTAGCACAATAATGTTTCAACTTGCAAGGAAGAACGCCCTTATTGAGTTGATAAAACTCCACCAGCTGGATCAGATCTGTAAATCTCGTGTGGCCATCATCCAGGGTGTGGAACATTTCACCATCATCTTCCACCTGCAAGAGGAAAACAACAAACTGGTAAGAAGGGCAAAATACCCAGAAGGACAATCATACTCTACTGCATACTGTGTCTTTATATGCCCAAATTGACAGGTTTATAAACTAAAGGATAGTGAAAAGAATGTTTTGCATATATACTTCATTTTTATCACTTAACTTTGCATTTAAAAGAAATATCAGGTGATCCTAGAATAAGCAATGTAGCTCTATGTTCTCTACTTCTAATTTTTGCCATGTTCTGTAATTAGAACAGTATGACTAGTTTGAATCAATATACAGTGAGAAATCTACATTATTCAGTGTAACAGTAAACAAAAGGTCTTAATGCTCTCATTTACAGACATTAATTTCCATTTCTAAATGTTGTCTCCCTACCAGGCTCACTTGGTATATTAAAAATGAATATTCACATAATTTATATCAGTAAATTGACTCTGAAGCAATCAAACATTATGTTAATGGAATGACAGTTGTCTTTTTTTGGGGGGCCGTGAGATCTTCTGGTATTATGGTATTAACCAATTCATACTTGCCAGGGACATCATTCACATAATCAATGAAGTAGGGAAGATACTTCACATGGACTTTGGATAATTCCAAAAACATCCCATTCAAAAGTAAACACTAGCAATTTAGCAATCTCATGTAACACTTTCTGAAAAGTAGACTGATTCTCTATTCCACACTGTGTGGTTCTAGTATACAGATCATACATGTACACACATATGAATGTGCAAGTGTACATCACACACACACACATGAACACACAAAATCAGCGATAGAAGAAACAAGAATCCCAAAACAAGTTGTGCCACCCAGAAGAACAATTACAAACAATTTTTAAATATGCTCAGAATAATTTAAATGATATGCAGTTCTGTAGCACCTGTGTATCTATCCACAATGATTGAAAACAGAACTACAGAAACAAAACATTTGTGGGACAAGAGAGAGGAAAGGGTTTTAAAATAATGTTTTTTTAAGAACTGCTAGTAGAGTTCAGGAAAAAGAATCTTTAGTGGCCTTTTAACAATGGGTGGCATGGGGTCTATACAATATTGCTAAATCATATTTCATGGGAAACAGAAAATTTAATTTTTACAATTCCTGTATTTCTTATATTAATTCAGACTCATAAAACCATTTCTGCCAAACTTAACTATAGTCAAAGTACAAACTCCCAAATTATATTTAATAAAAGAACTAAAGAAAACCAAAGTTTCCAAAACCTTATACATTAAGATCATCTCTAATATATGAATGTGAAATTACAAATTACTTACTGGTATAATTTGAAAGTGCTTTATTTTTTGTGCATGACTCATTGACAGTACGAAAGTTTTGGGGTTACTCTGACTATCCCGTACCAAGAAAACTCTAAAGAGAAAGAAAGAATTGTAATATGTTTCTACGTTTACTCATGGTTTTCATAGAAATACAGCATTTAACAAATCCAGAAAGTATAAAAATAAATACAGCCAGTTTTCCTATACTGTGTATTCAGTGATGGGGTTATACAACATGATAAACTATATAATATAACATTATCTTATAAAATTGTCATCAGTGCTAATTTAATTTTAATAGGATAAACACAGAGCCCATTTGTCAGACTGTTTGCTCACAATAACCAATGTAATGTTATGCTGGCATTGATAATTAGTACAGTGTCCTTTTTCACTGGAAATTGGGTATTCACATGTAATTGTTTAATACAGAGAATGGGGCATTAGCACATTGTCATTTTAACTTCTGGGTCATGTTAGGCCCTGAAAGAGAATATTATTTAGAAGGAAATCATTTTTTAACTCCCTCTTCTACACTGGATCCCCGTTTTTCTTTTGTTTCTGGTTCCTACTGGTATATACGCAAGAGCAAATGAGAAATGAATATATTCTTTAAAAAAAAAAAATCAACCCTGAAATAATTTATTAAATGTTTGAGCAAAATATTTTAAGTAAAAGAAACACCCAAACAACATGTACTTTAACCTTGAAGAATGCAGCAGAAACACCTCTATAATGTCAGGCTAGAGAAACAAGCCATGGCCTCATGGCCTAAGAGAAAAATGCTGCCAGGCATGTATTCTTATTTACTGGCAGTCCAGGGCAAAATCAGCTTTGTATTAATTGTTGGCAAACAGACGGTACACAAAGTCCCCACTGGTGACTCCAATACTAATCTCACTGTGCCTGGGCAAAGAGGCAGCCAAATTTGAGCCATTATGGATGTCGGATGAGATTATCCATTTCATTTATGCTGTGTGAGATTCCGACATTACATCACGGGGAGATGGGACAAAAGGGAGTTTTGCTGGTAAATCAAGCTGTAATTCTCTCCCCATTCTCGAGTAAATCACCACTACCACCTAGTGGACTGCTTGGCATCATCACATCTGTCCAAAGGAACACTGAAAAACAATCTTTAATTAAAAAATAAAGATACTGTCATTCTTTATACAATTATTTCATTCAATTTACATATACCGGGTTCAGAAATAAGGGAAATTATAAACCTCCAAAACATTTTAACAATTCTTTGTGGTTTACTTCTTTTCTTGGTCTCATCAGATTATAATTCTGCTGATTGTTCAAATTTGTATCTAAAAAGACTGTGCTCCACGCAGAGAAGCATATTAAAATCTTTTCTTTAATTTAGAGTCTAGAGAAATTCTGACTTGCTATTAATAATATTCCATGTGAAGATTTTTATCCAAATGTTAGTATTAAATCACCTTGAAATCCTGTCCTCATGTTAAACCCTTGAAGTTATAAGATTCTGTCACCCCTTGTTTAAATTGATGTTGGTTTCATTTCTCATCCAAACCTCAATACAACCTCCTTAATTTGTATTGCATTTGGAAAGAGAATTTAGCAGGTATTCTAGGAAGTATCTGAAATACTGAATACTTGGAGAAAAAGAAAATTCTTTAGATTATAAATCGTTCATAATTTATTTTATATTTCTTTTCTATCTTCCATGGTACCCCACTAAAAGATAACATGAGAAACAGTCACAAAGTGCTCTGTTCATAGGCTTATGTTACTTTAAGCTGTTCAAATTTAGAGAAAAGAAAATCGAGATGTAATCAGAAAGAAAAAAATAAGACAAACAGTTAAATATTAAGAAACAGCTTTTTACTTATCACACCCTGCATCAAACTTTAAAAAAATATAACATGTAAGATGCCATCACACAAACCATACTTTGTAATCATATTATATTTTCAAATCCAAATGCTGACACCCAAAGGTAAGTACAGCTGTTTCCCCCATCAATTAATATCTGAGATGCTAATATTGCCACAGAATGGGTAATATTAGCGATCACTGGTTAAGAGCGGAGTTTCTTATTTAGTTCTCTATTAATTTATGCACAAATACTAAGCATACATTATGTCACAGGTATTTTATAGATCCTGCTAGGATACACTGGAAACCACCTTTATAGAAGGAAGTCACTTCTGTTTTACTAAGCCAAGGACAAAGCTCTTGGTGTTGCTGAATAAGTAATTACTGACTACAGCAGAAATCAAAACCACTAACATTCAAAATCAAACTTACCCATCTACAAGTCCTTGCTGAATAATCAATCTCTGAGCTTCATCTCTAGAAATTTTGTGGTGAAACCATGGCTGAGACCGGTGGATAGCTGAAGAAATGAATGGAGGGATACAAAGCTTTGCATGAAATGATCACAGTTTTCATTATGCGACTTTCCACCATAACCCCTCAAGTGACTAGACTGAAATGCATTTCTATCCAGCCATTCGGTCACAGTGAACATGCAGACATACCCATGTTGGTGGCGGAGCTCTGTGACGATGCAGTAGGGCTACCATGATTTCCCAGGCGAAGGCATCCTTTTTTCTGCACGAGGAAGGGGAAAACAAATTTCAACGTTCTGGGTGAAACAAACTTAAATCATAAATATTTCTAAAGAAGGTGAACCTATCTGTACCCTCCAAGCGAGTCCTTCTTCAACTGCAACTGAAAGAGCTTCTGTGGGGTTTTCAATAACTCTACTTTTCTGGCCTGAGAAGTCCATTGCTACCAGGGAATTCTCTGATATACTTCTCTGGAAAAAAAAAAAAAATCACATTTTTTTTTTTACCATAAAAATATATTTGAAGTTATCTTTCATTGCTTTGTTGGCAGTATGTTTCTACACTAGGATGTGGTTCCAACGGTGGCTAGTAGGAAATTAAAAAATTAAAAATACATATTCAAATGTATTAATGGTGCTATAAAATGGTAAAATGGTGCTATAAAATATTTTCATTAAGTAAGTTACATAGTTATCAATTAAGGTCACTGAATTAAGCATTGAATAAAGGGATTAAAAGCTTTCAAAGTAAGCATGCCTTTCTCCTAGAATAACTCTCTTCATATTCTCTAGTAATACAGGAAAATGCCAGTTTAGAAAGGAGTTTTTAGCATTTTTATGACTAAAAAGATCCATTACTTCTGAACTCATCTCTCTATTTGCTTTAAGATTAATCAATTATCATTTAAATGTCAAATCTACCTACTTATGAAGCAGCTATTTATTAAGATTCAAGATACACTAAAGCTATAACAAACTGAGTTATATAACTTCTTTAAAAAGAAATACTACTCATTTTATAACAGAACTACAATATGTATTTTAAAAATTTATCACTTCAACTTTCATCTTACTTAGAAAATCAAATTTAGTAAAACAATTCAGATAACTTCATATTATTAAAATTTCTGATTTAGTATATAAATTTTTTTTCATCTTGTGAAGATGAACACGGCAAAATGAGCTGCAAAAATAAGTCAATGATGAAAGAAGAACTGATCTAAAAGGAAGAAATCTTTAAACAATTTTAAACATAATTTTTTCATTAATTAACTTTGCCAATTACTTTGTGTATACATATTTTCTGAACGTGAAAATAAAATATCCAAAACCTGGACTTTATTTTTACTTTCTGTTTGTTTAGGGCTCTAGCTGTACTTCACAACCATCTTTTAAAAAGCACGCCATCCAGACCAAGTCATGCATCTTAAAAAAAAGAAGAAAATGGTCAAACTATCCAGTCAAAAGTGTCACTTAGTTTTTAAGAACTAAAACACTTCAAAAAAAATATTCTAAAACAGCATGGATGATGTTTAACAGTTTTTCTCCACTCGTTGACAGAGGAGCAAAACAAAAACTGGCATCTAATGATAAAGGAGGAGCCAACGTGCATCCGGAGACTCGTGGCTTACGGCCATTTTGTATCTCTCCACATGGACTCAGCCATACCCTGCTTGGTCTAACAAACTATCATCACATGTGTTCTTGAAATAAAACGTTGTCCACACACAAAAATTAGGAGGGCTCATTTATCACTGCATCACACATGGCACTGTATTAGCATGCTATTTCCTCTTCAAACCATGCTGTTGGGGCCCACAGTCTTATTTAGGATCATCTTTATTTCTGGAGATCCGGCGTGCAATCTTTCATTTGTTACAGGGGCCTTTATAACTGACAGCTGCTCTTTCCAGACAGATGCTGTCTCTGTAATCTCTATTTGCTGTCACACCTTACGCTGCCCTTCTCACCCCGTGATCTTCTGTACCGGGCTGTGGACCAGTCGGATATACTTTTGCTTTGCCGACATTAATGAAAAGCCTCTACCTGCCCAAACCACAGAATAACTAATCTCAATCACAATGATAGCTTTATCCTTATAATATCGATGCTTCACATGCCAAGATGGGTTCTGTAATCGCAAGGTCCTGATAACATAAAAATACTGTTAGGAAAGAATAAGAAATGTAACCAGTTGTTCTTAATCTTTTTTTCCCCTATGATATGGCAAGCTGGATGTAAAACAAGATCCCTTGTTCCATAATTACTTGACATAAGTAGGGAGTCTAAATACAAATAAGTATTTTTATTTGCTATATTAACTATACTAGAGGAAAACACAGGAATACAGCAAATATTTTCTACTGAATGGCAGGTCACGGTGGATGAAAAATTAATAGTTTACCTTTGGCGGACAAAGAAATGGAAGTGAAGAAAAATCGGACTTGAACTCAAAAGGTCATTTTTCAGCTCAATTTCTTTCACATAGAAAAGCAATGTTGATAACATTCAGAATCAGGGTATTTTTCAAATATTTGTCCCTTTTTCTGGCTCTTTCTTCTGATGGGATAAACAGGGCAAGCCCTAAAAAAAGGTCCATAATTTTAAGGCCATGCCTCTTTTTTCAATAAAGAAGAGGCTGGAGTACACCCTGGATTACCCAGGTCACACTGAGATCAGCTCCAGTCACTCTTGATGGACATAAATGTTTTTCAGGAAGTTTAGCTGGTGGCAACTAGTAGCCATACACTGTCACCACATTTAAAAATCTAGATAAACCTGCAGTGCAGTCCTTAGCAAGAGGACACAGACTTTCCTCAGATATTGTTCTCATCCGCTTCACACAGGGCCACAAGACATCAGAGATGTAATTGATTCTAGAGATTATTCAACTGTCTCCCATAGTTTACACTTCAGGACACCAGTGACTCGACCAAGGTCACACAGGTAGCTTATGGTAAAAGCAGTGACAGAGAGGATTTATCTAGGGTTCTGCCATATATTATAATAGTGGGGGGTACAAGGAAGAAACTGCTGTTGGGAACGTCTAGCTCAGGGTCAAACGTGAGGAAGAATCTCAGACATAAAAAAGAATGAAATCTTACCATTTGCGACAACATGGATTGAACCTAGAGAGAATTATGCTAAGTGAAATAAGTCAGAGAAAGACAAATACTGTATCATTTCACTTATATGTTTATATGTGGAATCTTAAAAACTAAACAAATGAATGATAAAAAAGCCAAAACAAATAGACTCAGAAGCAGAGAACAAACTGATTAGTTGCCAGAGGGTTGGGTGGTAGGGGGATGGGCAAAAAAGGTGAAGGGGAATAAGAGGTGCAATATTATAGTTATAACGTAAGTCATGGGGATGTAATGTACAGCATAGGGATTACAGTCAATATCGCAATAACTTTGTATGGTGACAGATGGTTACCAGACTTCTCATGGTGATTACATTGTAAGGTATATAAAATCACTGTTGTACAGCTGGAACTAATATAATATTGTATGTCAACTATACTTTAATTAAAAAGAGCTTTATATTCCAGCATTTTTAAAAAAGTAAGGAAGAATAAGAACTGTGTAGGCTTGTTTTTCCCATCTCCTCACTCCAGCCACAGCCATATTAACAGATGCTCCTTGAAATGAATCCTTTGTTTGCCCTAAAAAGGACCAACTATATTTGGCTTCCTGAAATATCTGCTCATGATTCTCATTTCAAAGGCAGATATGGGTGCCTATTATATACTATTTATAACCATGGTGTTCATTATGGTATGAGAATTTTTTTTCTCATTTCCCTTCTCAAACTATATCCCCGAAAAAGTTAAGATGATAATATTGTTTCTTTAAAAACATAACTAAAATATACCAAGTTTTCCATGTTGCTCACTGAAAATAGTGCTGGGGTGAAAACCAGCAGAGGCAGGTGAGGGGCACTGGTATCCATTATAGAGGTCACTGATTCTTCCACGATAATCTAGAAAGGTGGGATTCTGTATAGACACCAAAGTAAATGCAAATACCTCCCCAAACTTCTGAGTTTCCTTCATGTAAATTAAGAAGAGTGGAGCTAAAATGACTAAATGCTATTTTCTCTGATCATGTCAACTGCCATATGGGACAGACAGGTCCTCACCACACAGGCACCTAAACCCCTTCTCCTTCAACCCAACCAGATTCACTCAAGGAGCACCTTTCCTATGCATGGTGTACAACAAGGAAAGCGACGCTAACCAAACAACCATGTGCATATTGATCAACAGTAGGATCACTTTCATTGGAAAAAGGCAAGAATAATACCATACCTGTATGCTAATGACAGTGATGAGAGTAGAAAGTACTTTGTTTTTGACAATTTTTCCTCTGATTAAGAGGACACTAAGCATCATCACTTCCAAATGCATGGCTGCTATCTACATGCTCAGCCTAATAACTTTAGACTCTAAAAGAAATTTAGAACGATTTGGAAAAGGATGAAGGTAATACAATTCATTATTCTTTATATACATATGGGTTGAAAGATAAGGGTAAGCTGACAAATTATTAAAAATACTCACCTTAAAGTGATTGCTTTTATAAAAATTCATTACATTGCTGTTTCTTATTTTAGGGCTTAAAAGTAATGATACAAAGACGAAAAATTACTCTTCCATAACTTGTATTTAAAGCAACATAACTACAGAATTGGAGCTCTTTTTCCATATTAGTCTATCAGGCTTCATAATCAACTTTATTTCATGCCTCATTCCTAGAACTGAGCATTTCATCTGCTACATTATATGTGGGCAAATGCACCTTCCTTGGTCACATGCATGAAGAGTGTATATTTAACCTAAGTTAAAGGCAGCATGTTAGCTGATTTGTAACACAGGCACATACATCTGAATTCCTAATATACTCAATACGAAGGAACACAAGGAAAAATAGCAGAACATAAACTTTAAGTTAAGAAATAAATGTCAGTGTTAATGCACAGAAAATTAACATTAGGTCCTAAAGAATGGAAAAGATGTGTGTGTGTCTGCAAATAAATATCCAGGTTGCATGTAAGATATATCTGAGAAGCAGTGCTGGACTTAATAGAATGCATGACCTATATTTTGGTGGGAAGTTCTGGGGTTTTCTGGAGAGCAGTCTGCTTTTCAAGGACCTGGAACTTTCAAAATTTTATTGTTAGAAAGCCCAAATGCAAAAGAGCTCACATGAATATAGAGCAGCTTTTAAAATTCCAAACCACTAGCATCTTTATATTAGGCTACGACAGTCCCAGAATTAATATTAAATTAAATAAATAAGCCCATAATCAAAATCAATAATTAAGAAAAGAGCTACAATCCCATGGAAAATGTTCTATAAATTACCTTACTAAGATCTAATCTTCAAACATTGTAATGAGGCGGAATGGCTCCTGTAATTATTTCCAATATTTAAAAATTATCTTTAACAGAACTATTGTAATTGAATATTTCATGTACACTCTGTTGCTGTGATTTTATCACACAGACTGTAATCATATATGATCCAAGAACAAATAATTCAATATAACATTATGGTAGGATGGTGCCAAAGAGTTACTTTACTTAACCAAAAGAATGTAAATGCATTATAATGCACATTTATAATGTAATACAATAGCAAATTAATATAATTAAATATAAATAGAATAAAGGTTGAAAAATTCGATCCATACCATGGGTGATATACTCTGAGAACTGCAGCCACTTCTACCTTGATATGGATGCATGTAATTCTGGTACAGCTGCATGCCATACTGCAAGATAAATAAATAAAAACACATTCCCATCACTTTTACTACACAGATAATTTATGAAAATCAACTCCTTAATTATATATCATCAATATCAAAAATAAAAAAGTGATAAGCATTCCTTAAAACAAGTAAAGCAGCCAAAATTATAAAAGGTAAACTTTTAGTGCCTTAAAATGAAACATTTAAAAAAACTGTGTTTTTTTACTTGCACCCACACTTCAAGTCTAGCTCACCAGTATAAAGATCTGGAACTGACATTTCTACTCATTATCTTTGCACCAAAAGCACCCAAACCATTTGGAGTGGTATATCACCTTGTAATAAGAAAGCTCACTTGGGAAGAGTACCAGGCCTTATGGTGCAAAGACTGCAAACCTTATACACATCCTAAGTGAAACCAGGTAAAATTCACTGTAACTCTTCAATGACTGACTGATGAATTACATTGTATTTTTGGTAAATCCGTAGACTTGGCCCTATGTTAAAGATTATCAGCACTGTATCATCCTCTGGTAACAATGCTCTTTCAGCACTGCTTAATGTTTGGCTTTCAATTTAGAAAAACAAAAATGTGGGGAATTAGGCTGATTTCAGACAAAGGGTTACCAAATACAACGTAACTGGTAGTCAGAAAGAACTGCGGCAGCTGCACTTTCAGGAGAAAGCATCATTAGACTGGGGCTGCCGGGCTGCAACTGGAAAATGGGTCTAGATTATAATACCGGATTATTAGTTTGAGAAACATTAAGAATGCCAACTGCCATGACAAAAATTATCTTGTAGGGGCCTCCATCTGAAACTGGAAGATAACACACTTAGATTGAAGTCACTTTGTTAACAAAGGGAAGGGAAGGGAAGGGAAGGGGAGGGGAGGGGAGGGGAAGAAAGGAGACCAATGGAACAGACTGGCTTTTTTTTGGTGGGGGCGGGGTCTACTCTACAATTCTTTCCATTTCATGGAGCCATAATGAACATAAAAGTAGGTCCTATTATAAAAGAAGTTGAAAAGACACCATAGAATTCAATCTTACCCTTTGGATGAATACCATTTAAACATTACAGCAGAATTGTTTCTCTACTAAAGACTTTTCCTTTAAAGCAATTCCAGCAAAGTGGATGTATATAAGGCAGAACATCAGAGGTGGGGGGACAAGGAGAGTCACTGTTTTCAAGATTTTGCTTTTAACATAAATATAAACCCACACTCATTTAAAATTCTCTATGTTGACTTCTTTATCCAATTATTTCCCAACTTCTAAAAATTATTTTTTAATTTAAGGTTTGATTGGCATTAATGAGACCTAATAAAATTTATTTTAAATCAACTCAAAGCCTACAATAATTTTGGAAACAAGACAGAGGAGCTTAATTCCTAGTCAAGTTAATTTTGGAGAATATACAATAACCTCCAACCAACACTTTCACAAAGGACATGCTGCTTGGTCACCTTTTATTTATCTGCAGTGAAAAGCCTGCTACCAACTAATAAGACTGTGTTCTTCAAAGGTGCATTGTCCCTGATATCTGTGGTGTTAGGTGACTGCTTCTGAGCTGTGAGAGCTCTCTGGTAGGCATCTATCTCTGGCCGAGAGGTAGGGCATGAGTCACCTTAACATTTTCCTGCCCCCATGGAGGGGCAGGTGGACCAAACTATGTTACAGTGAATCTGGCAGAGTTCTAATGGAAGGAAAGGGGACGAAACATGTAACCAGGACACTGGACATGAGCAAATCGCTTTTCTAAGTCTCAGATTTCTATGATTCTATATGTAACTGGAATTTCTCCAAAGTAAACAGAGGTATCGCCATCTAATGTTACATGAAGAGTTTTTATGTGTTTATGAAAATGAAAGGGAAACAAGAGGCCAAATTCTTGGGGAAGGCTATCTCTAACAAGTAGTTAGATAATAAAAATGAGAGACACTTCAGGTCCAGCCAACACAACGTAGACTAATTTTTCCCTGTTCCTCCCTGCTAAGTACAGCAGGTCCTCGAATAATGTCATTTTGTTATAATGTTGATGAGAAAAAAAAAATTGATTCTAGGCCGGGCCCACTGTCTGTGTGGAGTTTGCATGTTCTCCCCATGTCTGCACGGGTTTTCTCTTGGTGCTCTGGCTTCCTCCCATATCCCAAAGATGTACACGTGAGGTGAACGTTAAGTGTGGGCTTACTGTGCAATGATAAACTCTGGAAATAACATAATAGACAACCAAAGAGACAATCAGAAGATACCGCCAACACTAGGTGAGCCCACCAGCCAGGGAGATCACACAGGTGCCCCACTGACAACAAGCGACCCGAGGAAAGCAACTCAGTCCCCTGTTAGAGTGCCTCAAATGTGTCTGTGCTGGCAAGCCCACAATTCCCATGTCTGGATATTTTAAAGGGTAACACAGATCATATCTCTTTCCTGTTTGAAACACTTCAGTGGTTTCTCATTGGCTCAGGATAAAGGTCCTCACTGACGCTTGCCTCCCCCTCAAGCTTCATCTGGAAAAGGTTTCGTCATAACGGAAACAAACAGGTGATGCCAATATGATAGCAGAACAGTGGTCCCCATAGATTCCACATCACAATCCCCAGAACCTATGACTATATTAGGCTATGTGGCAAAGGAGAATTAGGTTATAGATGGACTTAACGGTGCTAATTCGGTGAGCTTGAAATAAGGTGATTACCCTGGATTATCTAGGTGGATCCAGTAGTAATCACAAAGGCCCTTATAAGTGGAAGGGGGAGCTAGACGAGAGAGAACTAGAGATATGGCAATAGGAAGAGGACTCAGTGACACTGCTGGCTTTGATATGAAGGAAGGGGCCATGAGCCCAGGCATCGGGGCAGCCTCTAGGGTTGGTAAGGGCAAGGAAACGGATTTTCCCTAGACCCTCAAAAAGAGAATGCAGCCTTGATGACATTGTGGTTTTAGGACAATTCAGACCCATTTCAGACTTCTAAATGACAGAGGTACAAGATAACAAATTTGTATTGTTTTAAGCCACTACTTTGGTGGTAAATGTGTTACAGCAGCTATAGAAAACTAATACAACACAGCATCTTTAAATTGGGCATTTATGACTTGAAAGTGGCTTTCAGAAGAGTCAGATGAGAGAAAAAAGTGAGAAGAGGAAAATCTTCCAGAAACTAAGCATTATGTACATGGAAGGACCAAAGAAAGCTTTTGGTATATTTCATCAATTCTTAGACACACATTTCCTTTCTGATTTTAACATCTATAAATTTGTCTTATAATCTATGGCACCTTATATTCACTGTGGTCCAAGTGACTTTTTATTGTCTAAAATTGGTGGGATCAAGAAATCATTAGCATCAAATCTTGCAAAAGGAATGTTAATGGCTAGAAAGACAACCCCACAGACCATGGCAGGGCATTTCTCTGAGAGGTTCAGCCTCTCCAAAACTTTTGATGGCACAGAGCTGGATGTTCTGTGGAAAATATAGCTATCCTTGACTCTGAGATGAAAATGATTCAGAAAAGTCAGACTTTGAATATGAAGCAGTTTTAAACATATCTCAATGAATTTATTTCACATATATATTTTCATTCATATGTATATGTATATATCTCTCTGTGTGTACACAAAACTGATAGATGATGAAAATCCAGGTCTATAGGTCTAAATAAATCTAAACTAATTATTTAAATGAAACTAAAAATTTTAAGTGATGTGAAAGCATTACATCATAATTTTATTGGCATAATTCTTTTCTTTCTAATTACACACAAAAAAATAACGGAGTATCCTAGTAAAATCAGTGGTGTGTTGGAGTCGCTGAAAAGGCTGATTAAAGGAGTGGGATGACCACCTGCTTCTGTGTTGGGTGTCTGACTTTCAGACCAAGTTAGAAGAGAGGAAGACTTGGCTAACAAGGTTGGCAAGCATCTTGTCTACCAACCTAGCCTGATTTCCAGAGCTCTGATGGAAGGGGAGAGAAAACCGAAGACCTCAAGGTATTATCTCCACTGTATTCACAATAGTCAAAAGGTAGAAACAACCCAAATATCCATCAACAGATAAATAGACAAATAGTTCATTTAATGTACATATACATACACTGGAATATAATTCAGCCATAAAAGGAATGAAGTACCACTGACAGATGCTAGAACGTGGATGAACCACAAGATAATACACAAAGTGAAAGAAGCTGGACATAAAAGGTCACGTATTATATGACTGCATTTCTATGAAATGTTCAAATAGGTGAATTCATAGAGATAATGAAAATTGGTGGGTGCCTGGGGTTGGGAGTAATTGCTTAATGGGTACAGTTTCCTTTTGAAGTAAAGAAAATGTTTTGGAAGTAGAGGTGGTGGTCACGCAACATTTTGGTTGTGCTAAATGCCACTGAATTGTTCACAATAAAAATAGCTAATTTGGTTAATTTTATGTCATGTTAATTTCACCTCCATTTTAAAAAAAATTAAAAGAATAAAAATTAAAACTTTCTTCCAAACCTGTATGACAACTAATGTGATTCTGATAATTCTGCCCTTCTTTAAAAGGAAATGATTGACAATTTTTATATTTATCAATTGAAAGTTGTGTTAAATTTGCTAGCATCCAAGTTTCAAAAGTAAATATGTTTTCTATACATTCTGGAAGAAAACAGTTTTGTGTCTTTCTTCCATTATCTATAGGGCATTCTTATTCCTTTCAAAATGCTTGCTAAGAAATCACACTTATGAAAGCTATAATTTCTACTTAGCATAAAGGCAGATGTTTTAATAATATACCTGTAGTAAACTTTATATAATAATTTGAGTTAAACTGGAAAGAAATTTATACAACACATCAATGAAACATAAAACCACTGTACTAAACACATCCGGGTAGGCATGTTTTCAAATGTACTTCATGTTGAATTGATGCCAATGTTTTTAAAACGCAGACTATTTTGTGTACAGAAGTTTCTATTATACAGCTATCTATGTAACATTCTTGCAAAAAATAAATATTAGAACATTTCTAAAAATGGAATACTTACTCCACACACAAAAGATGAATGTTATTAGGCTACTCCACTCAGCTCACAAATGTGTATCTTTCAGATAAAATAAAATGCACACATTGGGTGGTAGTTAATTTTCCTTTCTCCCATACCCACGCAGATTCATAGTGAGTCTCTGTGTTTTAAAATAAAGCTATTTTCAAACCTTGATGACAGTCCCAGCATTTAATGAAAACGCACAGCTCCAGCGAGATTACCTTAAGCAATCTAATGGCGGTCACCCAGCACGTCCTACTGTGCTCTTCTTCTGCACAGAGCATTTTCAGGTCTCGGGGCCCTCGCGCTTTGTTAGGCTAGAAGGCCACAGCACATTGTTTATCGTTAATGCATATCTTGAAGGTAACACCTGTTGAAATAAAAGCCACTAAAATTCTCCCATATATGTAAGAGAAAGCTGTCTCTTTTTAAAAGAAATTAAAAAAAAAAAACTCAAGCTTACCTAAAAGACTGAGGCTTGCTTTATTCATCTATCAAAATATTAAGCCTGTACCTTAAAGCAGAATCCACAGTTAGTTGGTGCTCCATGTTTTTTTTTGCCTGCCAGTGACACATAAATATCACTATTGCCAAATTCGCTGAAAAACTGCAAGTGCCGTGGTTCCTTAAAAAGAGAACATATGCAGGTGTTGACATAAGTACATATTTTGACATAGGTACATATCTCTTTTGTATTTCTATTTATTGCATAATTTATACCTTGTCAAAAATTATTCCAAATAATGTCACAGAAACAAAAGGGAAGAAAAACTAAGTCGCTATATCCTTAAATAACCAGGAGTTTGCTACAACATTATTTAATTTGATAAGTAGCAACTTGTTTATAATTTAACTTCCAATATACAAAAAGAAAATACACTTTCCTATTCTAAAATTATTACCTTTAACCACCATTTCAAGGATTCTGAGGGACAGAAGACGGTAAGAATGGTTTTTGAAAATATTTTCCTTGTCTGGGTTTCAAATAATGGCAGTTCAATAAAGGGAGGAAGGTGGGTTTAAGCTTCTGTGAGTTAGAGAAGCAAAGGGAGACACAGTGGATGATTCCTGCTTCGTCAGAAATGACCATCCCTCGTGTTTGTGTACCGCCCATCACTCCACGGCAAGCAATGAGAGGGCAGCATGACTACCGTCCTTTACAGAAAAAAGGGAGCCTGTACTGATGAGTTCAGGGGAATTACCTGGCAGTGAGATGTGTCTGATTTTCAAGGCAAAGTGGAATCATGAACAGCTATTTCTTCTCTGGGAAATCCATGAGATTTAGAATTGGTCATGGGCAATCACTGGGTCATGTTATTCTGTGATAGGTTAATAACTTGGAGAAGTGCTTAATTCCAGAGTTGAATGTATAATCAAAACTGACCAAAATACATCTGTTCTTTAAAACCTTGCTAGTAGTACTTCTTTAAAACCTTGCTAGTAGTACTGTGGTTCCCAACCAGCATCACCCAGAAGCTTTTTAGAAATGCAAATTCTCAGGGCCCACCCCAGACCCACTGAACCAAAATCTGCATTTTACCAAGCTCTCAGGTGATTCGTGTGCACTGAAATATGAGAAGTAGTTACTTGGAAGGAAGGAAGGAAGGAAGGAAGGAAGGAAGGAAGGAAGGAAGGAAGGAAGGAAACATTCGGCAATTTGAACAACCCATTCAAATTCAAATCCAAGTAAATTTCAGTCATGTACCAGCAGGGTATTCTGTCCCTGATGATTGGTAGAGAGAGAATTTCCATGTATGTCACTGTTTCTCTGTGTGTCCCTGCTCTGGGGCCTCTCAATCTAATGACTATAGTTCCCAACTCCATGGGAGAAAAAGACAGAAAAGGAAATTGCTAAAAGAGACCCAGCCTAGGGCCTGTAGAACAAGGGAGGAGGAAGGAAAAGGTACTCTTCTTGTCATGGCCTTTAAACTTTATTCCTTGAGAGAAAGTGATCTGCTAGAAAAAATGTCTGATTTCTGTGAAGATGGAATAACACCATCCCTGTCTACTGACACTGTAGAAGTCAATGTAGCTGAGTTATCTGAATGTCAGAAAAAGGCAGCTTGAGAAACACTGGGAGGCCACAGAGGCATGTAAGCTTCCTCTCTTGATTGATTTTTGTTCCATTACTGCAGACATATCAAGGCCTACGACACTGTAAGACTACAAAGCTGAGTTGGCAAGATTAGCAAAACCTAAGCATCACATGTGTACCTCAGGGGGGAGGCAGTGAGGAGGGCAGGTTCTAAGAAGTTTCTCTGTAAGTATAAGCCACAGCCACATCTCCAAGGCTTGCAGCAGTGGTTACCTAACTCTCATGCAGCCTACGTCTTTAGAAAGTAAAATAAATTGAGACCCTTCTCACAGAAAAAGGACAGGAAATGGTCTCCCTGCCATTTCAATATCAGGCATCAGATAATGTCAATATTAGACATCAGATAACCTATATAGTTGGTATCAGTTAGAATTCTTAAGGTTATCTAATACCTCAAATTTGTTTTTTGAGGGGAACTTAAACATCATTTTCATGTATAGACTATGGAACATGAGCTCATTCGGCACAGGCTAAAGAAAAGAACAGTCTGTGCTAGTGCACAGCAAAATAAGACCCTGTGTTGAAAAGAGCTAAGGTCTGGACTGAAAAGTAGTGATTTGATGCTTAGAATTTTCCCTAGCCAAGGGGAAGACCATTGCATGGATAAAAGCATGGATCTAGTAGAAGGAAGAAGAGCTGTGTTGATAATAAGTACAGAGGGAAAGGAGGTGAAGGGGGAAGTAAAAATAGAACGGACAGTGGACTTTAATGAGAAACCTGTTGAAGAAGTAAGAATTTAGGAATTAAAGAGACATTATCATATCTTCAAGTGAAGAATCACTGAAAAAACAGTGAGATAAGCATGATTACTGAAGGTAGAAGCTACTTTGCTTTGCTTTTAAAAGCAAAAAAATGAACCCAAACACATTTGTTCAAAAAACAATTTTATATGTAATTTCATACATTAGGAACATTGGGAAAGGAGCGAGCTCATGAAGGTCATCAAGAAAAAGTCTAAAACCTTAATTACCAAAAAGAATAATTATTCATATTACCATTATTGATGATGGAAAAATTTGAATACTAATTTAAATGTTCATGAAAATCTAGTTAAAAGCATCCGCATGATAAAATACTAGCGGTCAAACAATATACATTTAAAAATAAAAGATTTTTGTAAGGGGTGGGTTACTAAATTAATAAAGCCCCATTCCATCACTTACAGATCAAGCAAACAGACACATACACGCGCGCGTATGTGCGCACAAACAGCATCAAAGGAAACCTGTATACAAGGGGAAAGGAGGAAACTGCAAGGACAGTTGAGAAAGATATGGAGAAGAGTCAAGTATTACTCCTTCGTGGCTTCTGTTAGGTCCTGTTAGGACCACAACCCGAATACCAGGTCCCCATCATGAACCGTGTTCTGAGCATTTCCGTTGGGATGCTTCACCTAAACACCAACTCGTATATCGAGAACTAAGATCATCGGTACCTTATTTCTAAAATAATGGCCTTCTTGCAAACCTCCTATCCCTGTTTATTAAATCATTTTCTATTTATTTCTTTCTCTGAAAACATTTTTAAATGCTTCCTCTTCCTTCATATCACTCAGGCAACAAAATCTGGCCATTTGCCATTTAATTTGGCATCCAGCACTTGCTTCTCCCTCCACTGCTCATCCTATGTTAGATTCCATCACCTCTTTCCTGAATTACTGAAATTATCTAATTATCATCTGTGCTTCTCATTTCTCTCTCCCTCTCCCTCCCTCCCTCTCTCTCTCTCCTATCTATCTATCTATCTATCTATCTATCTATCTATCTATCTATCTATCATCTATCTCTCCCCCCTCCCTCCGCTTGCTCCCTTCTCCTCACTCTCTTTTACTCTCTCTACTTGATTTTTTAAGCTCACTATGGCTACACTGATCTTACAACTTGATCATTTCACTCTCTTGCTCAAAATTTTTCACTTGCTTCCTATAGTGAGTTGAATGATAGCCCCCAAAAGATGTGTTCATGTCCTAACCCCCCAAAAAAATATGACTATGACATGATTCGGAAAAAGGGTCTTTGTAGATATAATTAACTTAATATCAAGATGAAATCATTTAAGATTATGCGGCTGGGACCTAAATCCAATGACAAGTGTTGTTACAAGTGACACACAGAGAAAAAGGAGAAGGTGATGTGAAAACAGAGGTAAAGACTGGTGTTCGGCAGCCACAGCAAAGGGACACCTGGAGACATGACCAGCCAAGACAGTTAATCCTACTGAAAATTGAAAGGATCAAATCATGAGAATGAGAAATAAATAACAGATGAACATTTCCAGCATAAATGAAAAGAACTTGAAGATTTAATGCATATGTTGAGAATCAAGCAAGTTTTATCAGAATATATTTGAATGCACCTAGAGATGTGGCAGGGAAATTACTGAACACCAATGGTTATAATAATATTTGAAAAACAGCCAGAGAAAAATGACAAATTACCCATAAAGAATCAACAGTGTTGTCACTGACAACAGATACACGAAAAGAGAATTAAAATAACCTCATGAAAATTCTCAAAAGTAGTTTTACTTGAAAGAAATCAATGCATTACATAAAACATCAACGCTTATAAAACATACACCATGGCAGAATCTACATCAACTAGATCAGGGGTTGGCAAACTTTTGAGATGGAAGAGCCAATCCTGTCCCTCACAACAATTTAAAAATTATTCGAGAGCCATAAATATGTATTTTTACAAATAAGGAAAACTTAAAATTCCTTTAAAATGTTTTACAAATGAAACTATGACAGTTTTATTTTCATTTTCAATTTTACTTCACAGCCATATGTACGTACCCAAAGAGCTACATGTGGCTTGCGAGCCACAGTTTGCCGACCCCTGAACTAGACTACACAGATACAGAGTGCATAGTGCTGAGCACTGTGGGGATTACATGTATGAGTGATTGTGTATGTGTACATGGACAGCTGCACATGTATGTCTATGTAACTGTACACATAGGTATACAAACACAAGCACACAAACAAATACACCCACACTTGATCACAACATAACTTCCTCTAGTTCACAATCTATTGGGTTGTCGGAAAAGTCACGATGCATTTTTGCAATGAAAAACAGAAAAAATATGTCATGACTTTTCCGACAACCCAATAGCAAAGGAGGCAAAACTAACACAAAGGAATTAAAGGGTAATTACAGATTCAGCTCAGTGTCACTAACTTGATCAACATTAACAGAAGTTCAGAAGTGGGTAAGATCAGTAGCATGACCTGGAGTAAAAAGGAGAGGTGTGAACTATATTGGGCCTCAACATCTGCACTCTAGGGTAAGAAGAAAGGGCGTGAATCCAGAGTGGGGAAGAAATGAGCAGAGTATGTAGTACTGAAATAAGAACAGCTAGCTTCCATGAAAGAATGTTCAACTAGTGGAAAATAAAGCAGTTAGTTTTTAAACAGATTATGGGAAAGGTATGGAATCTAAGAAACTTACCAACCCTTGAGATCAAGTAATAAAGTAATAAGTAAAAAAACAAAGTAAAACTAATTTTAACTTAGAACTTAGATATGACTCATAACACATCACTGATATTTCCAATTACCTTTGATGTCCCTTTAGTAGAAAAATATAAACCAGATCTTCTAAGAAGGAAGTAAATCTTTTTCCAGGACTTCTTTCCCTGTTCTTTTGCATGTAAGAAGCCATGGATTTCAGGATATGTGCTTGAACTCAGAAACATCTGGAAAAAAAAAATTAGATGCTCTCATACTGTTTTTGAATCAACAATATTGTAGGCTTATATACTAATCATGTTAAGATTTCAAATACGAACATGTAAAATCGAACAGTGTGAATACTACTTATATACCATTACAGAAATGACAAAATATATACAACAGAAAAATAAATCAGTCTTTCAATAACCTGAGGCAAGTCCCCAATGAAAATACGTATGTTCACAAAATATACATTCTAAGTTATCAGTACTGAGCCAGACACCAAAATTATAAGCTATTTGCATGTCCATTTGAAAAGCTGGGCTTCATCTGTGGCGTAAGGGCCTGATATTTTCATCCTTTTCTATGGTTTTCCCCGAGAGCCTATCAACTTCCACTTCACATGGTGTAAGACCACAATCCTGACTTCACTTATTCAGTCATTGAGAAAGTCAAGTTCCCCTCCTAGATGGGGGTAAAGCAAACAATCTCTTCTTTGCACTCTACGCTTCTCAGTTGTGAGTAGGTACGGCTGGATGTGTTTTTCAAAGAGAACTACAACAATATCTTCCACCCCGCGTGTTCTGCAGCATGATCTTGCCACTGAAACATAAAGAAGTGGAGTCTGTTCTCCACCCCACTTGAATCTGGACAAGGCTTGCGACTGCTCTGACCAATAGAACATGGCAGACGTGACAGCCAGCTCTAATCGTAGTCCTTAATTAGTCTGATGACTTCCATGATTTAATTCTTAGAAGCTAGCTGTCACGTGAGAAATGTGACTACCCTGAGACAGCTATGTTGTGAGAAGCCCAACGCAACTGGAAGAACCCTGGAGGATGAGACACCATGTGGACGCAGACAGAGTACCGGGCACATGTAATGAAACACCAACTTATCACGGGTTCTTCAACCCCTCTGTGAATCAGAGTGTCTCAGGGACGACCCACCCAGCTAGACCCTCCCCAAATTCCTGACCCACAAAATTGTAGGCTAGATGTGAGTGAGTACTTAAGCCATTAAAGTTTGGAAGAGTTTGTTACACAGTAATAATTAATTGAGACATGTGTTGGTCAGGAAAATGATAATGAAAAGGAATAGCTCTCTCTGAGTGGCTATGCTAAGCTAAGCATCCTTAATAAGACAGTAGAAATGCATTAGCATCTCATTAAAAGAAGAAAATAGAAATCCCTATGAATAAACAAATACAAAATGGAAAAACCAAAAGTAAGAGAAATTATTAGCTAAAACAATGTACATATTTTAAAAGGCTACTCAGGGAAATGCTGAGAGTAGATATTTATGTTTTTTAAGTAAATTACTAAAAACAATTTTAACTTAATGAGCCACAGATATTAATTAATTGGCATGCAAAACAGGCAAGTAGGTTTTTTAGTTTGAGTGCTTTCCAAGTTATTAAACCAAACCAATTAAATTTTTAAAGGGGAGTCACAGAGGTCACACTAGAAAAAGAAGAAATGTTTTAAAAACTGGAAACATTGCCTCAGTGGAGAGAAGAGGTCAAAGGCACATGCAGGACTATGTGATTCCAAAGCTATCATTTTTCTTGATTTTATAATTTAACATTAAAGCAATATAACTAAATTATAGGAGGATTTGGGAAAGGAGACGGAAGGAAAACCCCAACCCACCACCCTATCATAATTCAGCGGTGAAGCCCTGAGAAGGACTGAGAGTTGCGGCGCTGAGGCCCTGCTGCTGCTGCCATTCACCCTAATAGTCTGATGGGGTATCTGGGAAAACTCGGTAAGATTCTAAGTAACTTTTTAAAAAATCTCGAGAGTAATTACATTTTTAAAATATTTGAAAGTGGAAAAATAAAATATAACCTATTAAAAAGCCCACAGAAAACAAATCTGTGATACCCAATATATTTACCAATATATTTAACTACCAATATATTTAAATTAATATCTATACTGAAGGTAGTAAAAGTTTTCTTCATTAAAGAATACAGAGTGGGTTTGGGGATGCCTGGGACTTAGATCAAACAGCAATCATTATAAAGATACTACTCAACATAAACCTGGTTAACAACAATAAGAGCTTCTAATGTGAAATCTATTAATCTATCAACAATAAAGTAAAATAACTGAAATTCTTTTAATGAAAATGACTTGGAAACTGATCATCTGAAGCTACTGTCTGTTCGGAAAAAAATGAGCCCAATAAATGCAAAAGTAAGGAGATTTTTAAATTAAATAACCCATACACTTAATTCAGCTAAGATATTTCACAATTCTAGTCAAGTACTGGGTTGTCGGAAAAGTCATGACGTATTTTTTCTATGTTTTTCATTGCAAAAATGTGTCATGACTTTTCTGGCAACCCAATATTTCCATCATAGCTATTATAAATATTAGTGTATGAAACAGATATATTCTGTATCTTTTTCTTTCATTTAATTGCTAAATATTTTATCACAAATAGCGTTGAGGACACATTACAAAAGTTAATACTAAATATCGATTAGTAAAAAGTCCACAATTTACTGGGAATTTGGATTTTTTAAAAGACTAACATAATCTTTAAACACATCATAGAGCAAAACTCTACAAAGTTTCCTTTCATGATACACATTTTTTAAATGTTTAAAATCCTTTGACAGTTGGCCCAAATTGGGAAGAATAATATTGTTAGGGGGCCTTGTTGATTTAGGGAATTCTTTATCCAGATCTCACTCTTTTCTTTTCTGTTTAGTTTTACCTCCAGCAAAAATTAATCATTAAAGGCATAACATTTCAAAATCTGGGCATTTATAAATACAGACCTTAAAGTTTCCCTTTATTGTATTATTACTTACATAGTTTAATGAAAATATATTTTACCTGCAAAATCTGTGTGGGGGATATTTCACCATTGGTTTCAGTTGCAAAAGACACCATATGCTCTGGAAAAAAATACTGAAAAAAGATACAGGTTACATTATCCCAAAACCCATGCTAGAAAAAGATTCAACTATGACCATTACAGTAATCTAAAACAAAAGTTCTTTAAATCAGTGTGCTGAAAATTCACCCCAAGTGCTTTTAAAAATGCCACTCCCTGGACTCCAATGTCAGGTATCTTAATGAGAAGCTAAGAGTGGGCCCCCAAGGGTAGCAAACGCCCTCAGGTGACGCTGACACAGAGAGATCCTCGTACCTCAAGTTACAAAACACTGCCCGTAGGCTGACAGTGTGCTTGCTCCCATAACTCTTCCCTGCGTCCTGCAACCACTCTAGCAGGTACTAAAGGACCATCGACTCAATTATATAAAGTCAAGGCTCACAGAAGTAAAGGGTATAACTCCAGATCACAGCCCACAGTGTAGAGGAGCCAGGTTTTCAACTAGGGCCAGGTAGCTAACAGTCCTTGCCACCTACTATTTTTCCAAACTTGTTTAACCATAAAATTCACTCCCAGCGGTTGTCTGAAATAGAAATTCCTAGGCCTCGTTCCTGAAGTGTCTGTCTGATTCAGTAGGTCCAGGTAGGTCCCGGACCCTATGTTTGTAATAAGCACTCTCTCCCTCCCCCAGGTAATTTTTATGATCAGACAAGTTTGGTCAAATAGATTCTACTCTACTTCTCCAGGACAGGGTTTTTCAACAGTAGTTCTATTAACATTTACTCTAATGATACTGTGTTGTAGGGGGCTGTCCTGAGCATTATAGGATGTTTAGCAGCATCCCTGGCCTTCCTCACTAACAGCTCTCCCTACCCCCAGTTATGACAACTAAAAATGTCACCAGACATTGTAAAATTGCCACACACCCCCACCCGCCAGTTGAGAACCACTGCTCTAGGACTACAAAATGAACATACAGCCTTGTTTAAAATTAAAAAAAAAAAAAAAGCTAAAACCAAAATCAAGCACTAAACCCATCTTTATGACTTTTAAATTCTTGCTTTTAATAAAAATTCACAACAAGAAAAGAGCTTCCCTTCAAATACTAATTCTATTTCATTTTTATTAGGACTCTTGTTTTCTTTGTCAAAGATCACCCCATCATGAACCTACTAATAGGTTCAAATAAAAGAGAGCATAAGAGGTCTTTCAGGGTTTGAAAAAACTTATATTATGGTGAGTATCATATATTTTTCATAAAGGATCACTTCAATCTAATTATCCAAAACTTAGCATAAAAATATGGTACAGCTACAAAGACAAAAACAGTTTAAAATAATGAGCCCAGAAGCTATTGTGACTTCTCCAGATCCCTAGTCTTCATTAGAACGTGACATAACATTTATTTTTGTTTAAAGAGAACGTCAGTGAAAATAATATTTACTAGACAATGCATTGCTCTTTACCTCATTTCTACCTAGCTCAGTAATTATTGCACTGAAAACAAAAAAATCTAGAACATCAGGACTCATGTCAACCTTAAATTTCTGGATAAATTACAACACTCCTAACAATCATCAATCTGTTTTTACTTTAGAAATTTTCATAAATTCTGTGAAAAGTGTTAAACTATTATATTTTGGAAACTGCTTGATGATATCTAATAATTCATTCCCTAATCAAATGTGGTTTTTTCTTGAAAAGCAAGAAGCAACAGTTCTCCAAAACTGTGAATCTGAACATCTGACAATGACGATGTCAACTAATCATTGTTAGAGTAAGAACAAATGTTGACTAATTTTTTTTTTTTTTTAAAGATTTGTATTGGGGAATTAGGGAATGGGAACAGCGCTGGGGACTTGGAGAAGGGGAACAGACAAGTTGCTGTCCTTTTGTTCTTCAGTCTAGTTTTGGAGGACGTTGCTGCACTGGCCCAAGTTGGCACCATCATTGCGCTCTTCCCAGGCGAGGCAGATCAGTCACCGGCTTCTGGATGGCTGCTCACAGCGGCTGCCGGTTATACACGGTAGCCCACGGCAACCCACTACAGCAGGAGCTGCAGCCTATGCTGTCACCGTCACCGGCGACTCATGGCAGCCCAGCTCCAGGTTGAGCTGTTGTTCAGCATCTTAGCTGTAGAGGGCAGTGTCACTAGTCCTCATATGTG